GGGCTGAAAGCGATGGCCGAGGCTCGAGGAAATTTTTAAATTTAGAGTCTCTGTAATGCCATTTCCTGGACTTTGTGGAAGATTTAACAGAATTCTGATAGTCAGAAAAAAGCGCTTTAGTATGTCGAAATTTTCAATTTAGTAGTACTAAATGGCCGAAGGCGTATTTAATTAACTATTATATGTTGAATAAGTTGCAGGAAAGTGTGAGTAATACCATGGATTGTAAAATAACATGTACTTTATTATCCATGGTAATACCTTCATTCTTTGCAGTTTGTCACAGATTAAATGATAAAGGTCTACATGACATGCTACGGCCCTGTGGTTATTGCACAAAGTCGAGTAACTATGTAAAAATATAGTATACAGGGGTGTCAAAAAGTAGACCGTTAGAAATTAACCTGTTGTTCTAATTTGAATTTATAGCCAGTATATTAGGCACAAGCCCACGGTATTATTAAAGAATAGTACATTATTAAAGTCAAGAGCTCAACTATAGACAATAATGGTTCAAAATAAATCTATAGTGCGTGCCCACATGATATTCAACTAAGAGTATTAAATATCTGACAACTCAAATTGTTTAGAAAGTTATAGCAATTAGCAAATATAGATTTCAGGCAGTCAAATCAGTTTTTAAATAGTTCACCTGCACAGCTTATTTGATCGAAAAATGACAATCGGAATTACTTCACACAAATAAGGCGTTCTGTTTTGGCAGCTCGGCCCAACGATCAACAACAGTGTCTGGGTCCATTATATTGTATCCGTGAGATCCTTTTCACATCCAAGAGTGATTAGATCCCTTAGCCTTCTTTCTTTCATCACTGAACGAATGGCAGTCTTAATTAATTTAAGCTTCGAACTCGAAAAGCTGCGTGTTCACTCGATGCGGATGCAATCGGCTATCTATGTGTATAAATGCTATACACTGCCACATACCTCGGTAACCTCGCTTCGATTTATTAGAACCTAGACTCCTCCAAAATTGCGGATGGACTCATAGACAGGGATAGTATTCCAAGAGTTTAAATAAACGTTTAGTTTTTCAGAACTTCTGCTCTAAACGTTTGGGGAGCCAAAATTTTTTATGGATTTCGAGTGCGAGCGCCGAAGGCGCGAGAAAAATTTTGAATTTCTAGATTCATTAGAACGCTATTTCACGTATTTTAGGATGAGGTTGGAAGAAAAGTTACAACCACAAAAAGTCGCCTAATTTTGTTAGATTCCATTTCCAAAATGTCCACCTATTTCTTTTTCGACACAAAATGATGTCTTTCAGATTTTAGCCGGACCGACTTTTTTCCGTCCCATACAGGATTCGGGACCGACTTTTTAGATATATTTCACAAAACATGGGGGGTGTCACACCAATCACCCCTCCCCCCACACCCCCCTAATGTGCGCCCCACTCATAATTCATTTATTTAATTTTATTAGAATTTTTCGCATTTTGATTGCCCTGTCAATCGGGATGATTTACTTAAAAACATGGATAGTGGTCAAATAAATTGTATAGTCTTTCTTGATGTTAGAAAAGCCTTCGACTCCATAAATCATGAAATTCTGATTGATAAAATGCGTAATTTTTTCGGAGTAACAGGAAACCAACTAAGATGGTTTGAATCATACCTGAACAACAGAGTTCAACAATGTCTTATAAACGGACAACTATCGACGCCCCCAAAAAATAATATGCGGAGTTCCACAGGGGTCCATCCTTGGTCCTCTATTATTTTTATTATACATAAATGATATGCCTGACTCGTTAAGTCACTTAACTCCTTCACTCTATGCTGATGACACGGAAATTTATGCATCTTCTAATGACTGCGCCGACCTTGTCCACAAGGTAAATATTGATCTCGAAAACATACGCAAATGGATGATACACAATAGACTTCAAATCCACCCCAGCAAATCGAAACATATGTTCATTGGATCTCCCTATAACCTTAAGAATAAAGTATCTGGTAATCCTATTCTAATTAATAATAAGCTAGTACCCAGGATTAATAAATATTCATGCCTTGGCGTGACTATGGACGAAAGGTTGTCTTGGGATAAACATATTGATTCAACCTGTTCTAAAGTTGGTGCCGGTATTGGTGCAATGAGACGTGTTAAACCTTTTGTACCACTGTCGACAACCAAAATGCTATATAATGCTATTATACAGCCTTATTTCGATTATTGCAGCCCGTTGTGGGATAATTGTGGAATTGGGCTCAAAGATAAGTTGCAAAAATACCAAAATCGTGCTGCAAGAGTAATTACTGGGGCAACTTACGATATTCGGTCATCTGAGTTACTCAATAATCTAAACTGGAAACCTCTAGAAGAAAGACGAAATTATCTTAAATCTATTTTCGTCTATAAAATTCTGAATGGCCACACCGCACCCAATCTTAAAGAAGCATTTCATTTTAATAATGAAAGACATAATACTTACAATCTTAGAAATAGGGATACTGATTTAGCACCACCTATGCCGAAAAAAGAATTCGGCAAGAGGTGCTTCAGTTATAATGGTGCCTTGCATTGGAATAATCTTTCCCATGAGGCAAAAATTGCTGAATCCCTAAGCTCTTTCAAGTCGATATTGAAACAAAGAATGAGTTGAAATTTGCTTGTGTGTAATCTTGCAGCTAAAATCTCTTGTATTTTTTTATTTTGTTATATTTTGTATTTCCTGTATATAGTTATAACTTCTTGAGATCAGTGCTATGATCAGTGCTATGAATGCAATTGATCAGTGCTATGAATGCAAAGTGACAACCAAAGATAAGAAGAACCAATCAAAGTGACAAATATTACAAGCAAACCAAGGGATACAGTATCAGTTGACCACGCGGGACGTTCATTACAATCTTGTTTAATATGATTGACAAGAGAATTATTATTATATCTATGAAGCTACTCTCAACCAATTTCCCAGCAGGCAAAGAAAGAATAAAGCACATTTTCGCCACCTACGGTACGCAAGAAGAATATAAACAGACAACGGACCAACCTCGTTCCCAGGCAGAGCCTGGGAACGAGGTTGACAACGGACCACATTCAACTCCAGAGAATTTAGAGAGTTTTGATGAGTAGAAGGATTTGAACATCATAACATAAAGCCATATTGCAATTGGTGAAGCAGAACGATTTATGCAGCCAAAAAGAGTAGCCAACCTTCAAGGGAAAAATCGTCTTGATACACAGAATGAAGTACAAGAGCAGCCTCGTCCCAGGCGCTTTGATGTGCTAACTGGTTGCGTGACTCACGCGCGGGAATCGAGGTCTCTTCCCCCCACGTGTGTCCTCCCGCGCGCGCGTCACGCAACATCAAAGCCAATCAAAGCGCCTGGGCACAGAATAAAGATCAGTACCAGAAGGGCCGCTCAGCGGTGCAACGTGTCCCCATTTTTCTATGCAAAAACATGCAATTGACTGGCTAGGAAGATGGCGGCCAGCCAATACAGCGCGTTCATTGGCCAGAAAATGTAATGGACTGGCTAGGAAGATGGCGGCCAGGGGGCCCTTATGTGTGCCTTATTCTGTGGCCTGGGTACGAGGCTGGTACAAAAGAATCTAAATGGGGGGGGGGAGTGGTGTTCTGAAAATCAGTTAACTAAATATTCATTCAAATTTTGTTTCAAATCATATTCCTACCCTGAATATTCCATATTCCTATTCGGCAATTCCACACCTGTGGTTTATTTACATTTTTGACACGTTTCCATGGCACACTGTGACGTCACTGAATCTGTTCCCAACTCCCAAACCTGTCCCAAACTAGAGCATGTAGCAATTTATAAGCAATTGCTACAAACTTCAAAGGTTACTGTAAAGTTTCAGAATTTCGTATATTTATCGAGTGGAATCGTTATATTGTTCGAACATTTAAAAGAGGATATAATTTAATGTGGCTTGAGCTAGTTGTTGCAAGGTCGCATATTATATAGAATCCCGCGTAGACATAGTAAAATATGTCCGACGTTGGGTAGCTCACCGTGGCTGTTATTAAATTGGATATTATAAGGAAGGACTTCGCTGTTCACTGTTCAGTCAATAGTAAAAGCAGAATTTTTCTACGATGAAGTCAAATACTAAACAAATGCATCACTGGATTTTATTTACGGTGTTTCTTGTCGAAATTAATATCTTCATTGCACCAGTTGAAGGTAAACACGCGGGCAATTCATTTTGTTTTGATTTGATCGCTACACGGTTTCTAGTTCACATTATATCATATAATTTGTTTTTTAGGCCAGTGCGAGTGTTCTACGTGTGTTACAAATTGTTTGGCTTCTCTGCGATGTAGTCCGGGCGAATTTCTTGTTGGAAATGCAAGTTCGTGGGCCTGCTTCGGATGTCCTACCGGTCATTTGTGAGTAATAATTAATATTTTGTAATTCAAACATTTAACATTGCCGGGCAAACTGCATGCATACCGTGAAATATTATTTTGCCTCATAATCAAATAGTAATATGAAAGTCTAATTAAACTCGGAGTAGATTTTTGAGCGCAGAAAAAGTTTTACAAGATATGTTGAGTTGGATTTTAAGTGCGCATGTTTTCCTTAGCTACGAAATTATGTCTAGGAAATATATTTAGTTAAAAATAATTTGGAATTTAATATGTGCGACTGTTTAAATGATACATTTTATTTAATGACTATAGTATTAACCTAAGGTCTACTGCAAAGGGTTCAAAAAGTTTGCAATAAAATTGAACAAGGCTAAATCACGGTTTGGGACAGAAATATTAGACATATACTGTAGTTGGCTGTGTTGTATTAATTATGCATGATTATGCAATTAAAATGTATAATCCAATATAGAACATAATCCATATTACTTTCTGAATCCATAACTTCAATGGGCTAAATATATACCTTTAATCTTTAAATAGACCATTATATCTTGTTGAGAAGCTGAAGTTCAGTCTGTTACATTTTTTGGAGGGTGCCTCGATCCTGCCCCATTGACTTCCTATTGATGTCCCTGTTTTTATTGTATGTTTTTTAACAATTTGTCATGCAGCCATACATTTACTATGAAACAAAATATTTATACAAACACCACCGATCTCAAATATAGTTGACTTGATAACATTGGAATTAGGATCTTAGGAATCATTGGAATTAGGGGGATTACTGGAGGTTGTTCCCCGGGGATAAGTCCCTGGGAATAAGTCCCCGGGGATAAGTCCCCAGGGAAAAGTCCCCGGGATAAGCCCTCGGATATATATCCCTGGGGATAAGTCTCCAGAGATAAGCCCTCCGGGGATGAGTGCAGGTACTGTTGAGTGTGGTACTGCAAAGCCAATAGATATCTCACAGCAGAATTGTACAAATTTAATCTAATAATTTATCCCTACTATATTAACTTCCGCAGTTAATGTTAGAACTACGTGATTTGCAGAATGGCGTTTTACTTCTGTACAATTAATACATTTAGACGACTTTAGAACAAGTTGTTTATTTATTACATTTTTTTGGATTCTCTGAATTTATGATGGAGAGCACGATCGGTCTGACGTGAATACCGGGAGATTGTGTTCGTTCACCGGGAGACCGGGAGGTAAGGTTCCAAACTGGGAGACTCCCGGTGAAACCGGGAGACTTGGCATGACTGATCGTTAGAAGCATATCTCTCCACTCAGAGTGTCCCTCATTGTTCAGTGTCTTGGGTTGCTTCTGGCGGGGCCGTAGCTAAACACGATAATTGGGGGGTGGGGGTGTATATTCATATATTCATGTAACTTCAATGTATGCTGTACCTTAAAGGAGATCCACATGTTTATCAACCTGTGACTGTCATGTCTTGTTAAAATATGTTAAGTAAAATTATTAATTGATTTGATTGATTGATTTATTACTCTAATTGTTGAATGGTTTATTTCATTTTCATAGTTGTTCTGGTGGTCAGAATGCATCTGAAGTTTGTCCTGTTGGAACATACAATACTTTAACTCGGCAGTCTGATCAGCTTGCCTGCAAGGTTTGTTGACAAATGGAGGGTGGTAATTAAATGTGGGCTATTGCAGACCTCTCAACTCTCACACATTCGGCGTGAGTCTCATGCAATTCACTTCACTCTCATGCTCTCACGCCACGTTTAGTAAATCTCACGCATATAGCAGTTTCATAGTATTTTTTCAATAAATAAATATAATATTGTATTCTTAAATGCACATAATTAATCATTATACGGATCGCGAGTCGAATATAAATCGTGTGTTATTGTTCCTGCATATACGGCCCGACATTTTGGCTTTTGCCCGCAATTTGGATACAAAATAGTACGCATATGTAAATACGGCGCACAAAAGGCAGAATCAGTCGGAGCAGAATTCTATTTGTAAATTATCAAAGGCAAATTAAAGCTCATTACTGTATGTCACAGAAATACAGTTATTGTAACTGAAGTCCAAAGTGCCTTAATTGTCTTAAAGGATGTTATGAAGCAATGACGTATTTCATTAAAACCACCAACTCTCAGAATGTGCGAAATGCCATTTCAGAGAGGGCCCTGAAGGGGTAAAATGGGAACTGGGATTGATCTATTTTTAGACTGGGAAAATGGGATTTGGGTTGCTGGGACTTGCCACTGGGAATGGGAAATGAAGTCCTCAAAAATGGAAATGGGATTGAGGTAATGCGAGTCGATTCCCAATTTTTCTACGTTTTAAGTATTTTATAATGGTGTATTTTAAGTACTTTGGCAGTGGCATATTAGCGCTCATTGGTTAGGGTTAGTTCAAAAACTAAGGGCCCCCAACAGTTAGGGGCCCCCATCAGCCACAGTCTATCGCCCAGAAAATTGGAAAACGTAAAAAATGCAGGTGAAGAATCAATGGAAAATGCGAAATTAATGTGCTACATAATAAAGCCTCCATCGACGACGGTAGCTGATTTTTTTATGCCATCTCAAATTAAACAAAAGTTATTCATAAAAGTTGTTACATATGTTGGAGACTGTTATTGTTATTGTTATAGACACGGAATTTTCCAGAACATTCTATAAATATTCAATATAAATATAATATCTCAGTCAAACAATGACAACAGGGGCCCCCACACAGAATATGCCCAAGGGGCCCCCTTCCTCCGTTACGCCACTGGTCTTTGGTCATGATTTTTGTTGTTAACTATATTATTCACAGCACTACCTGCGAACAGGCATACTCTGGCACACAGAATTCTGGGTTTTCTGATTATGCGTGTCTCAGAATGCTGCAAATGCCATTTCCAGGATTCAAATTTAAAAATTTTCCATGCCTTTGGCACGAACCCCCCCCCCCAAATTTCATAAATGGTCCACCACTTGCACACACGGTGGCTTAAAAGGTCTTAAAACTGTTTATTCTAGTGATAAATAAAGGTTTTTTTATTGACTGGGATTTCAATAACTCGGACTGGGATTTCTAATAAAAATCCACCTGGGACTGGGATTTTGCCAAAATTTCAGGTGGGAAATGGGATTGGGACCCCTCTTCAGACCCCCGGACTTTTACAAAGGTGTCATCCACATCCCCAATCTCACTCTTAACTTCTCTGCAAAGTTGAGAGGTCTGCTATTGATCATTTTCACATATAACATGAATAACTTAAATTATGATTCACAGGAAGTAAACATGAGAATTCATGCTTTACAAAAGTAGCCGTTACCAGTCCTAATTCTAACTATGGTAGTGCAAATGATTTGAGTGTCAGTAATGTAATGTTGCAGGCATAACTGAATTATGATAACCATTTTTTAAATGATATATACTGCAGTGTGTCAAGTAAACATTGTCAAGTGTGTGTGATTTTGCAGATTATTATGCAGTTATGTAGTTCAAAGATTTGGTTATTTTCGAGTCAGAACCCAAAAGGAGCTTCCACTCTTGCCGCATGTTTCATTTGCCCAGTGCTCACATCTTGCCTCTGGAGCACTCATATTCTGCTTCAGTCCACTCTGTTTACATTTTGCATCTGCTCTTTTCCTGTCCCCAGTATACCTCCACTCTGTCCACATACTCAGCATCTGTGCTACCTACAGTACAATCCTGGACAAAACCATCTGCGACACCCTATTAACATTCTTTTGTGGCTTTTTTTACCAGTTAGACTGGTGTAATTTACTAGTTTGCCCCCCTCCACCCCCAAAAACAATGTTGGACGTTTTATTCGTATTCTACGAATGCAACCAAGTACATTGCATTTGTAGAAAGGGGGAGGTTTTCTGAATTTACGATAATATTACGACATTTTGTCAAGTAATTGGAAGTGTCGCAGATGTTTTGTTCAGGATTGTAGTTGTCATCCAGCCTCCAAAAACCTGTCTCTTGTATCTGCTTTGCTAATTTCTGGCTCCACAGCACCTGCGTCCTGTTCAGTAGAATTACAATTAGACCAACAGTGCAAATACAAGTGCTGAAACTTCACGGTAAATTTACTATTTTCCATGATTTTTGGTTTGGATATATGTATTGTCCATATTAAATACCTGTAGTGACAGTGGATTATTCTTGGGTAAATGCATCACATTAAGATTAACACTGTCTGGCATTGCTTGTCATGCTTTTATATCTACTATCGAAGTGTTAAACATGATAAATGATGTTTGGTTCCTTACTTACCATACCTGCTGATTTTAAACTTTCCTACTGTATGCATTCATTGCATTGACTGAGATAGTGATATTTAAACAGAATTTGTTATCACAATTGAACTAGTTACAACAGTAAATCTCCCCATAGAGACTGGAGAATCAGGGGCATAACTCGAGGGATGTGTGGAGGATTGTAACACCCCCAAATGTCTGTTTGACTCGGCAAAAATCAATTGCCTTGTACCCAGGTGTGCAGTGCCAAAGCAGCAAATTTAATATTAATTTAGTGCCAAAGAGTGGCTCGAAATAAAAAGTAATAGTTATAGCAAAATCTTTGCTAAATTTACGAAAATTATGGAAAAAGTTAACAAATTACGGAACATTTATTTAGTGGGAAAGTTTGTGAAAAATGGTATCCCCCTGCTCTCCAACAGTTTTGGGAAAAATATTAATTAGCTACTGAAATGTTGTCGGCATATGCGATACCACCCCCCCCTTTCCTTTAGCCTTTTTGCTGCGGCCCTGTGAAGAATACCGTTTCTGTTAAACCTATGAAAGTTTGCGACGCTCTAAAAATGGGTATGACTAAAGGGAGAGTTACCAACTGGAGAGTTATCTCGGAGAGTTATGATTTCGGAGAGTTATGTTCAAACCACGCCCACTTTCCCCAACGACCACACCCAATTTCTTAACTCTCCCGACGTTTCCTTGAACTAACATGAGAGAGTTATGTTTGACGTAACTCTCTCTCTCGTTAACATTATGAAGATGTTAGAGAGTTATCATTTTTTATAACTCTCCGCGTTCACTGTTATGGCAATGAAGAGAGTTAAGTCAGTTTTTTGAGAAAACCTTAGTAAAGCTTGTTTCTTCAGATTTTCATCTTATATTTTGGTATTTCAGTTTGTAGCGTGTCAATAGCGTGCGTCCAAACAGGAAATACAAATTGACTCGGTCAAAACAATGAGATGCTTGCATCAGAAGGGTCAAAATACCCCCAGAAGCAAGCTTTGACGTGTATTTGGCAGTAAATACGGTAAGCATAGTTGCAAGAAAATTGAATCTTTCAGCAATTCAGGTATTGGAAATACTTTCCCAGATCAGCCAAGAGGGCATTACATTGGAAAGGTTTTCTGGTTCTATCTATACGAGAGCTGTATCTGAATGCTGGTTATCCAAGTGAGCATGTATATTTATATAAACATTTACATATAGATGAACTTGGTAAGTACTAAAGTACTATTAGTTTCTACTAGCGTGAAATGTTAAAGTTGACACTTCAGATAAAAGTAAATTTACAAAAATTTACTAATATGTGGAAGTTTTTTTCACAAAACTGACTTAACTCTCTTCATTGCCACAATCATGAACGCGTTGAGTTATAAAAAATGATAACTCTCTAACGTATCTTTATAATGTTAACAAGAGAGAGTCACGTCAAACATAACTCTCTCATGTTAGTTCAAGGAAACGTCGGGAGAGTTAAGAAATTGGGTGGGGTCGTTGGGAAAAGTGGGCGTGGTTCGAACATAACTGTCCGAAATCATAACTCTCCGAGATAACTCTCCACTTCATAACTCTCCGTTTAGCCGGTCCCCTAGTTAATGCGTCTGCGTGCCCTCAGACGCAAATTGGATACACGGTACGCACACGACGGACGCACCTGCGCGCACCGCAGACGCACGAGATTACACTCACTCACACCATGGATAATTAAAAAAGTATTTTTATGATCTATCATCTATGCCCACACCCATAGACGTACAGCAGACGCAAAATACCCGCATTTTTTGAGATATGTTTTTCCTGGCAGTACTGTAAGAAAGCATGACTGATGTTAATTACAGTAGTAAGCGTTGTTGATACGAAAATATGATTTATTGTAGGACTGTCCCACTGGCCATTATTGTCCAACTCCTGCTGCATCGCCAATTCCTTGTGAGAATGGATTTTACACGGATACCCTCAAACAGACTAAGTGCTCTTTATGTCCAGAAGGTTATCAGTGTCCAAGTGCTAGTGACAAACCAACACCATGTGCTTCTGGACAGTATAGTCAGGCTGGTAATAGCACATGTTCATCATGTCCTGCGGGGTATGAATGTCTTAATGGTAAGTCTGTTTCACAGACTACAGTTAGTCAGTGGCGGAAACTTCGCGAAATATGGGGGGGGGGGGTAGTGCCGAAGACACGATATTTGTAGGGAGTATAGGGGAATGCTCCCCCCGAAAATTTGGATCCCTGAAATGGCATTTGCAGCATTCTGACAGCAAATTTCAGGTTTTCAAAACATTAATTTAATGGTGCATTTTGCTGTAAATCATATGCTAAGCATAAAAAAAACGTCATTTCAGATCGAGAAAATATTCTAGATGATTAAATACATCAGTGAATGGAATTGCAAGGTTGTTTAACTCTTTCTCGACAAGTCCCGCGCATCGTCAGCTTCTAGAAGCTGACGACTTTGTATATTCATGTCTTCGGTTCAGTGCATGCTATGAAGATTATAATACCACCATTCGATTAAGTGAGACAATATCAACTAATTCCTCACGGTAGTTTTAGTCATTGCCGACATTGTAGCGATTTATGGCCTTTGAAAGTCAAGCGAGATCGTATACTATGAATTTACGCAATTGTCTGAACGTAATAATACCTTTCCTTTCATATACCATATACCTTTCGACAAACATAACTTCTGCCCCTTCGGACGTATCTCCTCTGTATAAATAGTCTTGTTCGAGTCGCTATTAAAAACACTATTTAGAGTGTCATTTTCGAGCCTGTATCTTCAAATTTGCATCTTTATCACGGTATTTCCATTTCTGATCCGACTGTGACCTAATCCCAACCAGAAATACAATTAAAAAAAAAAAACACGTCAAAACAATGCGACGTTTCTATCGTATGACTCTGGAAATGCCAGGAATCGATTGTAAAGGTCAAGTGCACCTGTATGCTTGATTTTTGACGTCTTCCGGCTACGGGAGCTTCTTATTAGCCAAAGTATAGCGCGTGACACGCGCGATACATTTTCGAAATGAAAGCTAGCTAAAATTATTGGGGGGGGGGGGGAGAGTCACCCCCTTGCCCCCTAATTTCCGCCACTGCAATTAGTACATAAAAATAGCTTGATTCCAGATTTTAACATGACATTCTACGAACTTGACCGATGCAACGGTACCCATGCAAGGGCAATTTGCGCGCAGGTTTTAAGTACTACTTAATATGTACATTTTAGCCAGCTTTTTAATGTATCAAGTGTACATCGCCACTGGCGAACAATTCACTGAGCTGCTATCCGGGTAGCCTGCGTAGCTGGCTGTTTTAAAGGGTTGGATTTGAGGCGCATGCAGCAAAAATTAAGGAGGCAATGCTCACCAACCCCTTAAGATCGTTGTCGTCTGTTGCAAACAGCCTACTTGCGTGGACCATGTAGCCTAACGAGCCTTCACCAGGAGGCCTGAGGACGAGGGTAGGTTGTCTTGCTCTCGATGCAGTAATGAATATAATTGAAATTTTCTTCCACCTAATGACATTTTAAATTTTCTACCACCTAAGTTAGCGTTTCTTTTTGCATAGAATATGAAAGAAGTCGCTCATCAATTAAAATTAAAAACCCTAATAAATTTTGTTGCTGGTGTGTGCGGAATGTCATTTATTTCACGTCATGGTGTTTGCCAAAACCATACATGTCAAATATTTCTTGTAACTTAAGAAGTACAAATCAAAGCCGTAATCGTTTCATTGTTCAAAATGTTGATCTTGTCCATACTACCTGTAGTTGCTGGAAAGTAAGAGTGTAAGTGGTGTAGTGACGTCATCGTCACATTTGGACACTTCTTTTATTTCTTTGGTGTCTATATTAGAGAGGTAGACCATAATGTATTGCGGCCTTTAAAGGTACGTTTACACGCTGCGATTTGTCGGGCCGATTTTGCTCGCTGTATGTAAATAACCTGTCGCGAGTACTCGCGTCGGCACCTTGCGATTCACAAAATCGGGAGAAAAATCTGTAACACTAGCACAGATTTTTCTCACGATTCAACGATTTTTCTTCCGTTGTAAAGTTGTTGAAAACTTTTCGCACGCAGAAAACTATAATATGAACAGACGAGAGAGCGGACCGCTTCAATTGAACGTTTAAATCGCTAAATGTCGAAGAAGGGGTATCGATTATTTACCAAAATCGGCCCGACATTCGCAGCGTGTAAACGTAGCTTTAGATGTCCTTGCTACATTGCTGTTGTTGAAGACTGTCATTACCAATTGATATGCATGCAACAACATGTACAATTCACAATACAACTTCTTTGCTAATTTAAGGAACAACACCGAGAGAGTGCCCAGCAAAAACCTATGGATCTCTTGGTTCGGAGATGTGCATTGAATGTCCGGCTGGGTTTAAATGCAGTCGTGCGGGGCTTGCCGCTCCTGAAGATTGTGAGGAAGGCTATTATAATAGCGCTAAAGGTCAAGACGCGTGTACGAAATGCGAAGCTGGCAGAGAATGCATGAATGGAAGGGAGTCCATACCGTGTCAAGCAGGTTATTACAGCCGTGAAGGAGAAAGAAATTGTACCAGATGTCCATCTGGAATGTATAGTAGGTCGTCGGCCTCGTATTGTATTCAGTGTCCGGCGGGAAACGAGTGTATCGATTCTTCACTCCCTGTTAATTGCTCCGAAGGCTACGTTTCATCGAAGGGTGATGGTGTGTGTAAGTTGTGTGATGTAGGTAGGTACAAGTTTTATTATCAGTATTGTCATTCACAGTACAAAATTACTGAATTCTGATTGGTTGAGGGGAGTGCAATTACCATTATTAATTGTATTTCGTTCTTTAGTACAATTAATAAATCGGGCGGGTGAGTGAGTAAAAGTATTGAATGGCGCGGGGTTTAACATGGGTGCGAGTTTTTTCTTTTCACAATTTAAGGAGTTTTATTTTATTATTTAATGAAATAAAATTCATATTTAAATACATTGTATGCAAATGAACACAGTGAATATACAGAATTACTGTTTTTAAGTAGTAGAACAATGCAGTGCGTTTTGGAAGGCATACATCAAGGACATGCAAATAATAAACAAACCGTGATAAACAAATTATGATTCACTCTTTTATTCAGGAACATTACTGTATTTTCAGGAACACTAAGCTCTTCCACTCGAACGGGTTGTTTTCCTTGTCCAGCTGGATATTATTGTTCTGATCCCACGTAAGTTATTATTGATTGCTACATTTTACACGAAACAAGGCAACGGTGGGTCAGTGTTTGCGCCCTTGCGTCCTTACCTTAATTGTGTCTAAAATCAACACACAGCAAAAGCTTATATTATATATAATAAAAAAAAATTATGCACTATTGCTTCCCACAGTGGCGAACGGTTTTTGAGTATGTTTAGAATCACGACAGCCCCTTTCCCCTCGATCATGCATGGTTACGGGAAATGTGACAACCATATGCACCCCTCCAGTTGTTGATGGGATGTTACGGTTAACATTTCTATAGCGCGAGTTTACATGTGGGTATGATCAAATGTGCTTTACATCAAGTATTACGCTTACGTAATTACATGCTCAGCCTAGACTATTTTATCTTTACATTTACAACAATTATGATATTACTTTCCTTAACTGTGTCTATCCTAATCATGCACCCTGTCAACTTTCCCATGTTCATGCACTACAGTATCTTCACCATTCGCCTGCATGTTGGTTATATGCGTACTGTATACGCATTGTCACATTTGTTCTGTTTGCATACCATTTTGCAGGCTTTCGAAAGTTGCTTGTCCAGCTGGTATGTATTCACTGGGTGGTGCAAAGTTCAACTGTACAGCGTGTCTTGCTGGAACTGTTTGTCCCTTTACGGCGTCCGCACCTGTACCATGTACTGGAGGTAAATTTTCGTAGCTACCAGATTCAGTACTTACAATATTAAAGATAAATTGATTAAGTCCGAAATTTAGGCAATTAGCCTTTCTCGGGCCATGCGACCAGTCCTTGTCTGCCATTTTTGGGTGGCAAACTACACGGGGAAAATAGACAGCAACAAGCACGAAAGGACAGAATTTAGTGAAGTAGAAAAACAGTACTATTATAATTGTTTATGCATGAGTGCCATTTACAATCACTAAATCACTCCTTTACTTGTTGTTATCCTTTGTTATTATGCGGCTTGCCACCCAAAAATGGCGGATAGGCCTGGTAGCATGACGTCAGGAGGGCTATGTAATTACACTTGAAATGGAAAGCAAGTTCTACAACCTCACAACCGCAGCTGGTTCATTGATACTGTGATTATCTTTTTTAGTACTCGGAAAGCATTTTATATAATGCCAATGCTTTGAGAAACACATGTAGCAATTATCATGGCTTTGTTGACTACCATATATGCAATTATATTTTTGAAATGAAAATTACGACCAGTTCAGAACCGACTGAATACCTGCTGATATATAAGAACCGTACCATTTCAGTCTTTTATGCGGTGTTTTACTGTACGTCCAATTACTGCGCAAATCTAGCGGGGTTAAGCGATTGCATGCAGTGTCTTCTTTAATTAAACAAATAGTGAACACATTTGTAGCATACAATATTTGTACCAGAATATAAATGTGTTAAAATGTTCCCTTCAATTTGTGTCTTGTATTTATAGCAACGTATTCTGAAGATTTTTTTGTTGAGTGCAAAGCTTGTCCGGCTGGCTACCGTTGTCCAAATAACAAGCGCCCGGAACCTTGCCGTTTCGCTGCGGACGTTGGATTTTATTATAGCACCGAAAACAGTAAGTTTTTACATGGTTCGAAATAATTTTATAGATCGAAATAATTTTAGTGTTGTATTTAAGTTTTCATTAACTGTTCATTGTGTTAGTCGCAATTAGCACAAGACGTTCAGTTCGTTCAGACGTCTCAGACTTCTTCTAATATAAATACTGTACGCCCTATGGCACTGACACGGACGTCCACTGGGGGATGGGAGAGCGGAACTCAATAATTTCTGAAAGCCTTTGATTCAGGGCTGGAAAATGTCCGGCAGCACCGCTGCCAGGAAATTTTTCACAAAAATTACTCGCAGGAAATATTTTTGTATCTCGCAGGAAATTGCTATCGAGTAGATTTAGATTACAAGTGTATGGGAGAACGTAAATCAGATTACACTGTATTCTGTAAAGTAAACACTACCATTTAGGCATTTACAGGCAACTGCGAACGTTTTTGAGTTTGTCTTTGTTATTAATAACAGTCTTAGTTTACGGTTCAAACGCGCAGATTAGCCCTTACCAACGAACGTATCAGTTTCGACCTATCAATCAAACAGCTTGAACAGCGATTTACAGACATTTCCGGAATCTGTTGCTGAAGTTGTCAAAGATAATGTGAAAGATTTGATAAAAACCACTACCGCAAACAGGATTTGCGCCTCCTGTTAAAGTGTTAGCAGACAAAGCAACATGCAAGCATCGCACTCGACAGTTTGTTGGTTTGACTAACGTAATACCAGATGCCGATGACCTTCGACAATATATGTTTCTGGGGCTACCAGTTATGAAAATTCACATTGGGGAAGGTGTCGGCCAAAGTATTATATCCGTGCTGAAAGAGTTGCAATTTCCGAGCAATTTCAAGGTGGATCAGTATTTCCACTTTTGTGTTCCTGAAGTCCTAAATATCCACTTTGTCACAGAAGGAAAAGACGCGTCTGTTCATTATGATTATGATCTCATGCACAAAGCTGGCTTGGTTGACAGTCATATTCGAGAAGATGACAATTTCAAGTTTCTGAATAAGGTAACTGAAGTTGGTGCAGCTGTTCTCAAGAATTTCAATTGAGGGAAGAATTACGAAGCACTTGCAGATGCGTGTGAATCCTTGGGGCAAGTGCTTGCAAATCCAGCTAAGTATAGCACTACTCGTTTTGCAAGTAGTGTCAGGAAAGTTTATATGAACTTTCGTAAGGATTATCGTGCAACTGTGCAGTGTCTCGAGATGTCAAAGACTGAAAAGAGAGACGGTGGGTGACTCGAAAGATAGGCAAAATGCTGTTGTTGCAGAAAAATTCATGAATTTCATTTGCTGTCAAGTTCGTATTAAGACTATCTGGTATAACTGATATTGATGAGAAGTATGGAGAATTGGTAAATGTGGTGCAGAAAGTCAACTCTCTTCCTCATGAAAGAATATGTCCGAAAGAATGATTCATGACACATGTGACGCAAAATCCTGCTCTTGGCTTGTATATCATAATGATATAAAACAATTGAATGATACAGGTGAGTACATGGGTGTACGAAGAGGGGCCAAATGTAACAAGGTCTTTAGCCAGAAGAGCAAATGCTAACAAAGCTGAAAACGTGCGAGATAATGTTTCAAAGCAAGTATTGTTGCTCATCACATGCTTGGAGAAAGATTTACGCGATCAAGTCTTCTCTCAGTCAGACAAAGAAATGATCGAGGATCCCAGGTTGATTACTGATTTGAAGACCACTGCAGTTAGAATAAAGTTGAGAGGTGCCATCCTTATTTCGAATATAGAAAGAGCGAAGTATAGTATGACGACGATACGCAAAATAATCCCATCCGTTAAAGAGGTTCCGGACGAGACCATAATTCTTCTATTTGAAGAATTTCTGGTACGGCTGGAGCAAGTCGTCAGAACCAAAAGAATGATGATTTCGACAGCAAAGAACTTACTAAGTTATTTTTGCGCAGCGACAAAGAGTTGTACAAAGGAATTGAGATGATTATCCACTTCATTTGTGTGTCCGCTGTGACAGTTTCTGTTCAATCAGTGATTGAATCATTAACATCAAAGTTTGCGATTCACTTCAATAAATTTAGAAATGTGAATGAGGATACCGCGTACAACGAAATGATGGTCGGAGTTAATGGTCCTTTATCAGTCCAATGTGATAAAGTTGTGATGGCGGCTATGAAACAACATTTCAAAGGGCAGCATGGCATTCGCTTTATAAGAAGTCGAATGACATCAGCCTATTTGACACAGTGGGTGTATCTAACAATTCTAAGGTTGTAAACAGAATGCTGCAAGAGAAGTCAAGACTGCCGTTCATGCAGTATAGAAATGAATTGAATAAAAATTTCGGAAGTATTTTTTTTATTGTTACAAAGCTATAGCTACTGATGAACGTCATGACTTCATTCATGATTTTTTTTTATCTATAAGTAGGCTATCTAACCTTGATATTTATACAATAATTATACCGTTAGTTACCTGTAATAATCTATCAATAGTATAGAAGTAAATGGATAAGTACAGTACATAGTTACATAAGACTGATGAGCGATGACTGCATCATTGCATGATCAGTAATAACAGAAACTCAGAAAGACAAATAGTCAACTGAATAATTTCCCATGCAGAACAGCCAGAATAAAAAAAGTTATTTCAATGATGTTAGAGTCATTGATGTTCCTGTCGACTGTCGAGTGTAGTAGCTGCTTTTTAAAAGTATATAATTTCATTTTTCGCATTAGTGCTTGTCCTCTTAGTTATAAATAAAAAAATCTCGCAGGAAATTTTTAATTAGTTTAGCAGGAAATTTCTATTTTTGGATATTGCTGCCAGGAAGAGAAATACTTTATCCAGGCCTGCTTTGATTGATGGCTGAATAACTGTATATACAAAGCTGTAAGAATGTTTTTCAACCATAAAAATATTGTTAAGCTATTAATTAGGCAAAAATGTTCAATCGCCTGACGAGTAAACGAGTAAAATTGTCTGGTTTTAGGTAAGGTAAAATAATAAAGTACGGCGCATTGCCACTCAAAGGGATAACATGACACACGGGTACAGTAAATACTGTAGTCTAATCGTCAGTAAAATAGTCTGTCGTTAGACAGAGTAAAATAATTTGGCGTTAGGCAGAGAAAAATAATAAAGTAGGGCACATCGCTATCTACAGTAGAAAGTTAAGGAACGAAGATTTCCAGCTACAAAAGGTGGTCATATGTTGGCATCCTAGTTTGTCCGCGCCATATTTTGCGACTTGTCTGACACTGATAATGTCTATCTTCTTTTACAGTGCTTGATTGCATGAAATGTCCGAACCGCACTACTGGGAAAATATGTCCCTCGTCAAAGGAGCTGCCAAGTAGCTGCCAAAGTGGAGAAATACCGAACACCGATGCTACAGCGTGTTCTTCATGTCGCGCTGGATATTACTGTTCAGCTCCCAATTTCGAAGAGGTTGAATGTGCGCCAGGGCAATGGAGTCTGGCAGGTGCGACACAGTGCAATGAATGTCCCCGTGGATTTGAATGTCCCACTAAGCACAGCCTTCCCAAAGAGTGTTCATCTGGGAGCTATGCGTCCAAAGAGAACTCAGAGTCATGTACACAGTGTCCCGCTGGCTCTTCGTGCGCAAATACACGGGATTCTCCGAAACCATGTGCAGCCGGTGAGTTTTACATTGTATTTTGTACGTTGTTAGTTGTATATTGTAAATATACGTTGTACTGTAGGTTTGAGGTGTAGTTTCGAGATTTGTACAATGATCAAATTTTGGAAATTTGATGAAAATAGTGGAACGAAGCAGAATGTCCCATGTTCACTAGCCGCGAGCAGGCTACATCATGTTTCAATAAAGTGTCTGTTTGCGAAGGGCGAGTTTAATATTTTTGTACATATTAGAATAATTAGGAAAAGGTACAGTACAGCCCTAATGAAAGTTAACCATTCTCGCTCGATGCTATCGAGGAAAATGTTTCGAGTATCGAGATCTCGAAACCCACTCGATAAAAATTCTCGCTCGCTCGATAGGCTTCTCGAAACGCGCTTCGCGTTACTCGATACACAAAAATTTTGCGAGAAGCGAGAAATCTCGATGCAAACATTCTCGAGAACTCTCGTAACAAGAAATCTCGATGCATCCATTCACGAGAATTCTCGCAGCGCTATACTGCGTGTAAAATTTTTCGCAAGAAGTAACGTTGCTTCGCATGTCCGTGCGAAAACACGGAGTAAACTGAAAATAACAATACAGAGTCAATTCTTGACTGATCTTTAAGGACAATATTAAAATCCAGAAACATTAAAAACCACAATCAATATTTTGAAATAAAGACGAAATACAATCTACGAATAATAAGTATTATTTTACCTACAAAAAATATCAACTTCGCTTTCCATGCCTTTCCATTCAGCATCACTTGGACGTCACTTCCTTTGACCGCGATGACTACTTTATTTGCGCTCAGTAACTTCTCACGCGACACATACGCGACACCACTAATAGTGTCTTGTCAGCGTAAAAGTAAACTAACTAACTAAGTGAAACTTCGTCAAGTTTCTTGAGGACATCGCGTTCTTATTTCTATTTCTATAATATCTCTCAGAGCAGGCTCACCGACAGACATCAAAATACGCTTCAGATCTCAGTATAAATCAGACAGCATGTTTTTCACTGACATCATCTGTAACGCTCTTTTGTTTTCGATAATCCATACGAGACAATAAGTTGTCGATGGAGTTCCTGTTATTGTGGTTATAAAGATGGTGCATGAATACAGATTCTGTCACTAAATGCAATCAACCGAAGCGAACTAACATTATCTATAGCCTAAGGCTATAATTATATAGATTGCTTTTAGTGTATATGAGTCACACCGTAAAATTTTGGAAATAGTCTTATTTTCTATTTCTAACGAGTAGGTTGAACCGCTAATTCTAATAAAGTATATAATAGAAAGAGCGTGTTTTTACTGACACTAACATGTAACACTTCGAATAAACAGACGCTGATTTAACCAGGGAATTTTGTTTATCTTGTAGTTGGGTAAAGGTGAGTAACGAAATAATATAACCGCTATCACCCTATCATTGTTATATTTTTAGGGAACTGGTAAATATATGTCAAAATATGTGACGTTTGCCATGCAAGGAAACGGCAATTATCATCCTACAGAATATTTCGCCACATGTTGGTCAAACTCTCGCTCGATTTCGGACGATACAAACAATTTTCGAGAACCCTCGCTCGATATCTAAGTAAAGTCTTCGAGAACACTCGCTCGATAATTTTCGAGAACACTCGCTCGATATTAAAATTTTTCGAGAACGCTCGCTCGCTTCGCGCTCGCATTCTCGCAACTCGCAGATTTCTCGTTAGGGGCCAAATCGCGCTCGATAGCCTCTCGCTCGAACTCGCAACTCGCTCGTTACACGATGTTAACTTTCATTAGGGCTGTACTGTAAACCGATTGCATACAGTGTAGCTTTAATTTTTAGAGGGCTACTAACAAAAAAATATGATCTTTGGTAAGGGTAATAATTTGTAATGTATAATTTATCTTTGGTGGAAAAAAGTCATATTATATTCATCAAGTTTTTCAATGCTAAATTTGGCGTCATCTAATGTAAACTTTATCTCATGATACCGCATATGGTGTCATTAGATTAATTTTAGCAGCAAGAAACAAAAAAATATATAATTTGCAAGTTATACTGTACCTATAATGAGACCACATCCGGGAACACTGGATCCTATAGATAAGTGTAAAAGTTGATGAAGATGACTTTATTTAGTACACACGCCTGTATAACATTTATGTTTAGAATCACCAGAATATTACACATATCAAAAATCCTATTTTGGAATTTGCGGCGTTTTAAGGACAGCCCTTTTGTAAGGATAGTTTAGGCCTTATACTTTACCTAAAAACAAATTAATACTTTGCAGGTTCATTTAGCACTGTTGGTCAGACAACATGTACCAGCTGCCCACCAGGTTATGCATGTGCCAACGCTTCTTCTCCTACCAGGACGCAATGCCGCAGTGGAGAATACGCAACTGGAAATGCCATTAAATGTCAACCCTGTCAAAGGGGCTACTACTGTCCATCTATAAGGTTAGAGTTCTTCGTCGTTGAGACCATTAGATTAGTACAGTATACTGTGTGAATAACCACCATTTCTGATTGGTCGTTGAACTGTTTGGCTTTATCTTGGATTGCGGTATACACAGCATCTCCAGCCCAGAGGAAGCGTTTAATCATTGAAAAAATTATATACATATACGAACTATATAAATTGGAATAATAAATTCAACACGAGAAGGAAGAACTACTGTATAGATTGAAGTTTATTGACTTTGAATGTTTAAATGGAAATTCCAGAGTATCTGATTCCATTAGTTAGCGATAAAGGCACTGGTGCTTGGAAGGAAGGCACCTTAGGTTTAATTTGTCCCAGTCACTAAACTATGAATGAGGACTCTCACTAATATTGGTCTTGCCCGTCAGCAGATTGGACTTGACCACAATATCTTCCCTATTCGGATTGTTGGTTTTTTTCAGGATAGCCTTAGAAATTCCCTGTCCTCCTGGCACTTACTCTGGTTATGGTCAGACTTCATGCACAAACTGTCCTCCCGGTAAAATGTGTCCCGACACTGAAGGTAACGGTATTCGTGACTGCAATCTGGGGGAGTACTCGATTGGTAAAGCAACAAGTTGCACCCCGTGTCCTAGTGGATTTGCCTGTACAAATACGTCTAGTAATTTCAAGGTGGAATGTCAACTTGGAACCTTCTCAACTGGTCAGCAAATGGCGTGTACATCATGTCCAGCTGGATCGTAAGTAAATCATGTTACATATTTCTCTGAATAATGATTGTTGGAATAATAATTGTTGGCAAGTGACTGGAGCTAACTGCAAATCTGGGCCAGAAGGTCTTGTGCATGCTACATCTAGAATACATGTAGTAGAAAATTTCAATTTCGCCCAATATCTTTTTGCAAATTTTACCAGATTTAATGGGTATCTCTTTTCTCTTTTCAAACTTTGTCTGGTTTAACTATTTTCCTACCAAATTTTATTTATCGAATCTCAAGTCGTCAAGCCCTGAGTTACTGTATGTTTCTTGTATACAAGCATGGCATTTACAAACTTACTGTAGATCCAAAAGGCCCCGTCCACACGTATCCGGATTCGTTTGAATCCAGAAATATTTTGTAGCAGATTCCAAAATTACGCGTCCATACGTATCTTGATTCGTAAGATACGTATGTTGCGTTTTCGACCGTCCACTTCCGTCCATACGTATTCTGTATATGGCAACCAACGTACTGTACGAGCGTGCTCAGCGTGGACTGGATTCTATATAGCTACAGTATCTGCTGTTGGCGTCGGTAGATCTCAAATTTCATTGACTTGTGCCATCGTTTTAAAAAGGTTCCGGTTACAGTCCGTCATTAGACTACGCGCAGGCTATATGTCCACATGTATCTGGATTCCTTACGTTTTCTAAGGTTTCCACTCTGAAGACCGTACGTTTTCCAAAGGTTTCGATGTGGGTTTTCCCTGGAAGGAGTATCCCAAGAAAATGTTTTCGAATGCAAACGAACCCATGCAGATAGGTGTGAACGGAGCCTCACATTAAACCTGAAATGCCATTCCGTGGCTGCCCTCCAGTTTTTCGATACATAGTACGATGGATGCTCAATTACCAGAACGTTCTCAGGAAATATTTTTCAGCTGCTGCGATGTGAAGGATGTACAACTACAGTACATTGTACATGAAAAATATATGCAAAACGTCAACGTCGGACGAAGGCCCTTTATCACAGAACAAAATATTTGCCATTTCGTGAGAAACATCACGTTATTACCACGTATATTTTAAAACTCACTGAAGTTTGTCTGAAATTGCCCCGACAAATCACAGGGTGTAAAGTTGTAAACGTATGGGAAATATGTGAAAATTCTGAATTTCACATATAAATCTTGCACTTGCGCATGTAAAATGTTCTAATTCCTACATAATTTACATTTTAAAGAATAGATGAAATTTTCATAAGTGCGCGGATTTTTTTAAGGGTATCTCTTTTCGCTCATACGTACAATATATCCGCACTTAACAGAAGGTCATTTATCTATCCCCCTTTTGAATAGATCTTGTGTTTAATGATGTTTATGATATGTATATACAGGTACTGCCCAAGAACAGACAAGAACTTGGTGAACTCTTGTGACAATGGTTACTACTCCGTTGCAAATTCCTCGAGATGTACAAGGTGCCCTCCTGGGTACAAATGTCCCCACAAAAATCGCGACTTTCAGTAAGTATTGGCATTCATTAGTTTTAAATATTGGTTCTGTTTTAATTGAAATAAAAGTGACGACAATAAGTCTACGATTCGCAAATATCTAACATATCTTAAATGACCTGCATAATTAATTGATATACTCTATGACCTGCATAATTAATTGATATAATGAAGTGTACAGTTTAACCAACTTGCGTGTTCATGAACATAATATCTAATGCCAAGTGTCTATTATCAGGCAAGAGCTTACTCTGAATATAATCTTGAAGGGTCAGTGCTAGTGTAGGTAGTACCAATAATAACAAAACTTCGGTTGATTGATAGGGGTACAACTACCTGAAAAATATACAAGGAGAGCTTCGACGTTTCGAGCAAAGTCACTTCGTTGGGAAGTTAGTAGCCTGCTAAGTTCCCAACGAAGGGCCTTCGTTCGAAACGTCGAAGTTCTCCTTGTATTTTTCAAGTAGTTGCATCCCTATCAATCAATCGAAGTTTTGTTACTCTGAATGTGTATGAAATATTCAGCTAGCATACCGCTTCTTCTTTTTTAGAGAGATATGTCCAAACGGTACATATTCACTTGGCGGACAGATCGATTGTACTCCTTGTCATCCGGGTTTTTCTTGTAAGAAGAGAACTGAAGGTCCACAGAAATGCATACAAGGCTACTACAGTGAAAAAAACAAACCAATATGTAGTCCTTGTTTAGCCGGCTATCAATGCTCTGATCCAGCAGGTATGCTTCAATGCACTTGAAGACGCCTGGTGGGCAAAGCCGGATTTTGCTGGGAATAGTGAGGGAGATGCGAAAACAAAAATTAGGGGAGGCATGGCTTTATCCAAGCACCAACTGACCTCCGGTAAACGGAGGTCAAAACTCAATCTTGGATTGAGTTTTTAAACTGAATCTTTCCCCAACGAAAAGAAAAATCAACAAAAATCATTTTCACACGCTTTAGTTTTTGGAAGTCCGAGCAACAAGGTTGTTTGAGCTGGGTTTTTTTAAACTAAAACGACATGTTATTGTTTATGTTATAAAGCTACCTCTATATATCGTGTATTTTGTGTCTTGTGCATGCCCACCATGCTTAGATGGCATGCATTTTTGGATTTCTGATAAAAATTTCGATCAAATCAGCACAAAATGAAATGGGATGACTGAAGAATAACAAATATTACTAATAGAAAGTCAATTTTTCCGGCTAAAATCTAAAGAGTGAAAAAGCTGGAGAAAAAATACGCTGGAATACGAGTACATCGATGCATAGCCTCTTTGGTATTGGGCAATGTTTATATAAGATTACATCATTCAAAAACAACGCGGTTACATTCAAGCAACGTGGCGGTAAAACATAGTTTAAGATGCTACACTACGAGAGACTACATTCGTGCTTCATAAAAACTGAATCTTCGTTTCTAAAACGGGGGTCAGCGAAAGTGCTTAGATAAAGCCCTGGGGAGGTGCAGCAGTCTAGCTCACGACCCCCATTGAAAATTAGGGCGTAGGATGGGCCAAAGTCAACGACGTGACGTATGCATGTAGTGTACATACTGTATGTATCAGTGTGTTAATGAATTACGACTGTACAACTCATCCAATTTTGCCCGTCATTACAATTACTGTCAACCTTTTTTCAAAACATTGCATTAAAAGAGAGTTGACACAGAGATGAATGGCTGTCACTGTTTCAATTTTACAGAAAAACTTTCTTGCGAGGTGTAGACCCATACAAGCAAAGATGTCAAATTTTCACTTTGATTTATCATTATTGAAACTTTCCCAGGAGAGGTGCATGACTTTTCAGGGCAGGTGCAAAAATTCTCAGAGGAGGTGCAAAACGATCTCAGGGGAGGTGCGCACTTCCTCTACACCTCCCTCAAAATTCGGTTATGATGGTGGGTCGTGGGTAGAAGGCCGTGTGCGTGTACCACGACCAAAAACTGGAAAAACATGCACGGAGATATATTACGAATACGGTTTGATCATTCACATAAAGTCGTGTATGATTGGCATAAAGTGATTCGTGATGTTTTTATGTGAGGTGCATATATTTAGTGTAACCGTATTGCTCATATATTGGTGTCAAAATATAGTTTTAATAATACCAGTGGTCTTCTTTACTGGTACAGTCAAAAGTGATACCATGAGCCTTTGTGCGACCTTTAATGTCATTAGAACGCTTTTAACTCTATATTTTTTCTTTCAATAGTTCCTGTGAAATGTCCAACTGGGACACATTCTGGTCCAGCCTCCTCTCTATGTTATGCCTGCCAGGCTGGCTATATCTGCCAAGAAGGCTCTTCGTCGTCTACGCCATCTGATGGTAAGTGCTTGTACAATGCAGAATGGCTCAGTTTCGTACTTCTTATGGAATCCATTTCAGGTGAAGTGTTGTTCAGAGTACCGACCATGATGAAATAATAAGTGGTTATCGTCCCTACCACTGGTACCGACCGTTTAATTAAATGATATAATGCACATTGCCTGAACCAACTCCGAATACTTGAACTTAAGATGTTAAAAAAAGAGGAGACAAATTTGAAGAGTAATACTTTGTCTTCAAAGTTTTTGCAAACCTGTATAAACAGCATTGTATTAACTTTTTTTCTCTTGTTTTTTTTTCCACAAAACGTCAGTTTCTGTCATAACATTTCATCCAATTGACCGCCAATACGACCAGCTACAGGTCTCAAACAAAATACTCTTGATTACATTTCAAGTATCGTAATGAGATCGAAACCAACGATTGTGTTTCGGGGTGTGCAATGCCCCCCCCCCCTCAACCTTCGCTTTTCCGTTGATAGGTGTTTGTAAGCCAGGTGGTTGGTGCGATGGCAGGACTTTTCATCCATGTCCATTCGGCACTTACAATCCATTGAATGGTTCCACTTCTGCCGTCAAGTGCGTGGCTTGCCCGGCGGGATACTACTGTATGGATACAGGCTTGGATTCGTACTTGAGCCACCCTTGTCCTGCTGGTCACTATTGCCCTACTGGTACAAAGTATGATACCCAGTTTCCTTGTCCGGCCGGAACAAACTCTAGCCTTACCAATCAGACAACTATCGAAGGCTGCAAACCTTGCCCGGAAACATTGTACTGCCCCGGTGGCTCGGAAATGGGTCAAATCTGTCCCGCCGGTTATTATTGCCCGGAGGGGACAGGAGCCCCGCGTCGATACGCATGCCCGATTGGAACATATAGCTCCAGTCTTGGACTTAAGAATGGTACAGAATGTATTGAGTGTCCTGTAGGTCACTACTGCCCTGACGGATCACAAAACCAACCCACCGTAGCACCTATTCCATGTCCACCTGGGACTTATAATCCCAAGACAAGGATCGGATACCTTTTAAATTGCGAACCTTGTCCTTCTGGGTATGCGTGCCCGCGTGCGGGTCAGAAAATATATAACGACACCTGTCAAGAGGGTTATTATTGTCCAAATGGAACTATTTCACCATCACAGTATCCATGCCCTCCTGGAACCTACACCAACCGTACGGACCTCAACAGAGCAGAGGAATGCACGCCGTGTCCACGTGGTAAATCATGCGGTTGGGCAACCGCCGTGAACTTTAACAAGTGGAACGTTTGTCAGCAAGGACATTATTGTCCTTTAGGTTTGTATACACCGTTTTCTGTCCTGTTGTCGTAAAGGCCATGCGTCCATGGAATTTAGGAACATTTGAAAATAGTGGACATGGAAGGGTTTGATTGGATCGAATCAAAACTAAACACGTAAAAATGCACAATTTATAACAAACCTACTGTAGAGTTGTATCCATTTCATGACATGACATGACTAAATTGAATGAATGATAATAATGATAGTGAATGATAACAAACTAAATTTAGATTAACTAAACAAATTTGATTTCTGCCATGCAGATACTGTAGCTCAATAAGTCCTAAACTAATTTCTCTGGAGGTTCACTAAGAGCTAGGTATGTCCTGTCCCTGTGTTTGTACAGGAGGAAACCATAGACGTTAAAAGCACGTGAACTAACCACTGTTTCATCAACACTCCAGTTCATGCTTGTTCCCCACATGTTCCAGCAGGTTGATCACAGACATGTACAGTGTCATGCCAGGAAATATTTTACCGATGTATGTTTTGCTAGTATTCCCAAAGGTCGTAGGTTCGATTCCCACCGTGGCCAGGCATATTTTTCAAGCCTGCCCGATGTGGATATACACTCAGAGTAACATTACAAGCATGATATTTGTTTTACTAATATATTACTAAACGGCAACCTAACGGACGTCATGTGTTTCTGGTGTAGGTACACCGTCACCAACAAAGTACCCCTGTCCTCCTGGTACATATTCAAACAGCTCCGATCTCTTTGCTCCTGAGCAGTGCACAGGATGTCCAGAGAGGAGTTATTGTCCTGGGGGAGAACCTTACCCCCGAGGATTGTGCCCACCTGGTTATTATTGCCCTGCTCGGACAAGATTTGCTCAGGAGTTCCCGTGTCCTAACAGAACGTATAACCTTCACTATAATAAGTCGGAGGAAAGCCAATGCGAAGAATGCACATTGGGACATTTTTGCGAACTTGGAACTGTTAAACCGATTCCTTGTCCTATAGGTAAGAAAATTGTTTAATTTGAATGAGGCAGACACAAGGTCACCCCTCAATAACCTTAGACATTTGTGTAGCATAAATAGTTTTCCTGCCCTCAATATAGGGTATCTTGCTACCTAAAATCAGCAGGGCATCTGTAGTGCAGACACTGAAGAGGCACAGAAAGGTTCCCTAGCTTATTAGAGAGGTTACATAAAAGTTATTTAAAAGATGATATAATATGTCGGGGCATTGGAAACGTCCCGTAGTAAAGCTAGAGGTGTTCGTATTAACGAGGTGTCTGAAAGGGGATGTTCGCGATTGTTAACGTTACCCTGTTTAAATAATGCAGTGAGGAACTGATCTCATCGTAAAGTAGTAGAACGCTAACATTAATTTATCATGATCATTAGGTACGTACATGCCATACGGAAAGAACACGACAAGTGATACATCAAATGGCGTTGCTGCAGGTTATCAATCTGATTGCGTTTCATGTACCATGGGTTACTACTGCTTAAACGCCACCATTAACCCCTATCCATGCGGTAAAGGCAAGTATAGTAAGTCTGGACAGTCAGATTGTCCTTCATGTCCAGCTGGACGATATTGCGATATTGATGCTACAGGCTATGATGAGATGGAAGCTAATAAAACATGCCCAGCTGGTAAATACTGTAGTGGAGGATTGAAAGATGTCAGTGAAGCCAAGGAATGTTCAAAGGCACATTACTGCCCCCAAGGTAAGCGTAACTATTTCTCATTAACGTTCATTTGATTATTTTCAAAGGGCGGCAGTTCTTGCAAAGAAGAAAAATTGGTGAACTATTGATTGGCCAACTCATAAGTGTATATGCTACCTCTAGTAAATACTGACAACGATGAAGCAGATGCTAGCTACCTCTTTAATTCGTATGTACAAAACTTGCATACTTTACATAAATTCGAAAATTTGAAAGTATGTCGATGTTTTGACCAAATAAGCCTGTATGGAGTGTAAATAAGATTTCCGGAAGGTTGTCCTCATGCACTATTTATATTTAATAAATATTTTTAGACAAGTGTTTGTCCCAAGAGCACAAGTGTTCAACTAGGCGACTCATACTAGGAATATTTACATGAATATTATAGTGTGCAGTATTTTTTAAAGACACAAAAACAAAACTAAGGACTGCATGATGCTACACATGTACTCTATGACAGAGGAACGACCTATATTTAGGTTAAACGTCTACAATTTGTGAAAAATAATACCGTACAATTTAGTTATGTACATATAGAGGTACGCATTTTCGTAATCTTGTCAAAAAGAGCTAGTTTATAGAACTTTCTAGATCTCATTTAATTGTTCCCATGCAAGGTTGCCACTGGTAAATGTAATAGCGAGTAACTCAATTTCTGTCTTCATTTTGTGAAGAAAATAAAATAAATGAAAAGGGAATAAAGATAATAAATGAACGTGGCACCGTTCTCACTATCATCATAAAAAATAATCGATTAATAAACAAATCGTGACACACACAAGACGTGATATGCTTGTAGTGATCAACCAATTGTTTTTCTAACCAACCAATCAGAAGACGAGATCAATTTCCAACCCTAGTTCAAACCTAACATTGGTTAATGTTAAGCCTGTTTTCCCTAGCGAATTTGTTCGCGCGAATCTTTTGTATTATGAGCTCTCGGCTGGAACTAATTAGATTTTTAATCAATTCTTTTCAATTTAAACATTAGAAAATTCGCTAGCTTCGCGCGAAGAAATTCGCTAGTGGAAAACAGGCTTTAGAAGCCAATTTTCCCAATGTTATTGTTGTGAATACAACTGACAAATTATATCGGGCCTTCTATTTTGTATCCAGGAAGTGAAGAAGAGATTCCCTGTCCAGCTGGAACATTCAATCCAGAAGTGAATGGTTCTAGTATAGCATCATGTCGGCCATGCACTGCTGGATCCTACTGTTTAGAAAAATCCGAAGCACCGAACGGAGTTTGTGATAAAGGTTTTTATTGCCCGACTAATATTACCAATGGTGTTTCCACGCTGATCATTGGCTCGTATGGCCCTAAACAAATCCCTTGCCCACCAAAGACGTTCCGTAATACGACTGCAGGTCGTACCGTCGGTGACTGTTATCGTTGCCCAGTGACTAGCTATTGTCCACAAGGTAGCGAAATACCTAAACCATGTCCTCGTGGATATTACTGTCCACCAGACGTGAGCGAACCACAGCCTTGTCCTATTGGAACGTACGCAAACAGAACAGAACTTGGAGCACTTGAAGAATGCACAAATTGTACTAAAGGCTGGTATGTATAAACGTCTACATGTAATTTATCTCCTATTTACACATTTGGGAAGGCTTCCTTGTTATCGTGATTTTCCCGCCCTTTAGCTGGCAATGACATTTAGCTGACAATGTGTGGTTTAAAGTATCATTATTATCATCAGCAACATTGTCGCCATCGTCATTACGTCAACCTACAGGGGGTGGACATTAAAAGTGCCCCTCCCCCATAAAATTGGCATATCCTGTTCTTTGTCACCTTACTGTATGTAAAGAAAGTCTTATGTTTTGGAACTTGCAATGTTTTTGAACTTGAAGTGTTTTTGAACTTGCTCGTTTAGTTTTATGTAGGTGTGTATAAAAATTGATATTTCAAATCAATTATTAGAAAAATACCAGGTACGTTTAGAGAGTTTTTACTTAAAATTCAAGGTGGCGGACTTGAATCAGAAATGCGCCAAAATTATCAAATTCTTCGCGCTACAATGTTCTGATATTTCTAACTTAGTCACAAAACTGGAATGGCATAAAGCTCCAATAGATAATGTAATTATTTCATGTGCGCAGATACTGAATTGCTAGAATGTAGTTCAGTAAGGTAAGTATTTTTTTAATAACGAAGGTGCGCTCCCCAAGCCACTATTACCACAGTTAGCTATTACTATAATGATATATGAAATATATGATATAGCTACATTGTAATCTTTCAATAAATCGTTTCCACACAATTTGATGCAAACACGATTTTTTCTTGGCTTTACCTGGTCAGAAAACTATTAAACGGTCAGAAAATTTTGATTTTGTTCTCCGATGTGCGAATGTGTCCAAACGTTCAATCACATACACATGTGAAAACTTACAAAACTTTGCTAATTTTTTATTCACACTAAACATGTACGTTCAGAAACAACGTACTAAACATGCAACCTCGTCCCCAGGGCCTTTTCAGGAAGGAGGCGAAGGGCAGCAAAGGCCCTGGTAAAGGCTGGTGAAATAATCCACAAATTGTGGATTATTTTGTCACGTGATATATCGGAGCAAATACTATACAGGGGGGTGCGATCGCGGATTAGCTACAATATAGGCCGGCGCACACTAGAGCTATGTGCTTAGCAAAATGTCATTCGTGACTGTTGGCGTAAGGATCACGTGAT